AATGGAATAGAATTAAAAGTCCAGAAATAAATACATACATCTATGGTCAACTGATTTTCGACAAGCCGAGCTCTTAAACACTGTGCCACCACCAAGTTTATATATATAAACTTCTACCATTTAACAACAAAAAGACAAATAACCCAATCAAAGAATGGGCAAAGGATTTAAACATACATTTTACCAAAGAGGACATTCAAATGACCAACAAGCACGTGAAAAAGATGCTCAACATCATTAGCCATTAGGGAGATACGAATCAAAACACAATGAGATATCACCCCACCCCCATTAGAATGCCAGTAATAAGAAAAAAAAAAAGGAAAACAAGTATTGCCAAGGTTGTGGAGAAACTGGGACCCTTAACCACTGCTGGTGGGAATGTAAAATGGTATAGCCATTGTTGAAAACAGTTTGGCAGTTCCTCAAAATTTGAACATAGAATTATCATATGACCCAGCAATCCTAATCCTAGATATATACCCAGAAAAGTCAAGGCAGGAATATAAACAGAAACCTGCATACCAATGTTTATTGCAGCACTTTTCACAATAGCCAAAAGGTGGAAACAGCCAAAATGTCCATCAACAGATGAATCGATAAACAAAATCCTGTATATACATACAGTGGAATATTATGCAGCTGTAAAGAGAAATGAAGTTTGGATGCATGCCACAACATGGATTATCCTTGAAAACATTATGCTGAGTGAAATAAGTCAGTTGCCAAAGGACAAATACTGTATGATCTCACTTACATCAAATAAGAAAAGATATAGAAACCAAAGATTATTAACGATTGCACAGTGGTTAAGAGCTATGGCTGCTAACCCAAAGGTCAGCAGTTCAAATCCACCAGCTGCTCTTTGGAAACCCTATGGGGCAGTTCTATTCTGTCCTATAGGGTCGCTATGAGTCGGAATCAACTCCATGGCAATGGGTTTTAAGAGTGAGAGGGAGGGGGAAAGGGAGAGTTTTTGTTGGGGAGGCACTGAGTTTATGTTAATGGTGGTGGAATATTTTGGAAAAGGATAGTCATAATGGTGGTACAACATAAAAATTAAATCAATGACACTGAAGTATAAATGTGAAAGTTGATGTGCTGGCACATGTTTTGGTATGCATATTTTCAC